CTTAACAAAGTCCTCCAGCTTCATCTTCCTCTCAGGCTTGACGTTGGGGCTGTACATGTCAGTGTTGAGGAGGATGATTGCAAAGGCAAGGATGAAGATGGTGTCGGGGTTCCTGAATTGTCGCACCACACCGGGGTTGCAGATGCAGTAACGCTGGCTGGGAAGAATATGTAAGGAGTAGAAACTGAATGCAAAAATCATTGTTCTGATAAAAACAATATGTGTGTAAATTAATATTTTTGGGTCATTAATCCACCTGAATTTACCCCTAACAGACAAAAGCAAAACTATTTACTTTAATAGCACAACTGTGCTATCAAAGTATAGCCATTGCTAACTTTAGCTAGATAAACTAATATATTACCAGAGCTATTGTATGTATTATAAGAATTTACTATGATGTCCTTACATAGTCTACATCTAAATATAAGCATTACATTAAATGCATCAGTACTGACTAACATACAGTAGGTGACAATATGCTAAAATTAGCACGCTAGGCTAATTAGCTCATTTAGACGACCCAAAGACTTGGACCTGAGGCAGTTTCTAAAAATGACCTTAATGCTACTGAAATAACACAACTAATATTACATCAATTTCACTTTGACTTATGTTAGATGCATTCTGGATGCAATGCAATGCTGTGCTTGAACATGGGAGCTAGTTGATAAGAAGGCATCAGTAAGACAACTTACTGGCAAAGTAAAGGTGTTAGCTTCCCTGTAAGCGATTAGTTCGGGGCATAGGTATCAATGCTTCACCTGATATTAATATTGAGCTCTCTGCTATCTGTTCTGCAGTCAAAGAAATAAGTAATATTTCAATTACTTATTTCTGTCAATACAGGCTCCAGGTATTACACGGGCAATTTCTGAACCACCACAAAGGGAGCTTGTACTCATATCTGGATATGGCTGCAGGTGAGCACCAGATGATCCGTCATCACTATCTCCCCCGTAACTGTGCTGTTTACTGAGGCCGAAATGTCCTTGCTCACTGCTGAACGAAGCGAATTCTCTGTGCACACGAGGGCACCTTTTCTGCTGGAAGTTTTGGAAAAGTAAATGAGGCACAAACAACATCTATCAGCAGCCCTGAGGGAGGTATTCCTTCACTCTTTGAACTAATTTTCTCTAAATCATTTTCTACAATGCCTTGGTCGAACAAAAGTCTGGATTTGAAATGGCTTTGCACCGCTCTATTGCTTTCTGCTCGCGACCGTTACATTTAGACTTTTTGGTGTCACCTTTGTTTTAGAGGATAATGGTGTTGTTTAAATGGAGCAAAGCTGGTTTGTCCTATCCATTAATCATACACGCTATGTTGGTGGTAAATACTAGACACGGCAATGAACCCCATAATGACCAACCTGTCACATAATCAGTTAGTCTAAATTGATATATGACCCTATTTGCAAAAACATCATTTTACACCTCCTTTCTACAGAAAGGCACATGAAGTGGTTTAGATTTAAGCTACCTACATTGGTTTAGGAACTAAAGCCATGTTTTTGCATACAACTTTTAAAAGCATGCCTTACCTGAAGGCCTCTATCAGTCGCTCGACCTTCTGTGCTTCCCCTTGGACTCTGATGTGTGCCTGGAATTTCCTGAGCGCTTCATCCAGCTCCATAGCTGAGAAGTCCATTTCATCCACTACGCAGCTGGT